TCGAGTAAAACTGAGGTTGCAAGGCGGGTAGCCGGTGCAGAAGAATCTCTGACCTTTCTTCTTCCTCGAGGCAGAGTCTGCCTCACCTGGCTCGGCTTCATTGTCCGAGCCAGGCTGGCCGGTGTCATCGTCGTCCAAGTCCATGGCGCTTGACATTGCTTCGTCGCCATCTCTTCTCATTGTAGACTCATCGCCTTCAGCATCCGCTTGTTCCATCTGCGTACCTTGACTTGGGCGCTGGGAGGTGGTTGAAACGCTCGGCCGGGACTGTAGGGCATGATCTGTGACTGCTACTTTGGCCTCATCCAACACTGTCGATGCATAACGATCCGGCCGCGGAGTGGTCGGTGATTCCAAGTCATCTCTCCTGTCCTTGGATGGCAGATTGTCGCTTAAGACGAGGCTGGAGATGGCTGCCATAGTGGGGTTGTAAGGTGAAGCAATGCCAGTGCGACGGCCAGGCGCTCTCGAGGCTGCGGCACTACGCCTCACAGTGATGGCACATCCGGAGCGGCCGTGGTTGACGATGAGGGAGGCGGCGTAGTCGAGGTCAAATTGAATTTGACGATGATTAGATCAAGGTGCTGGGCTGAAAGACTTGACAGACAACGCCGCAGTTCGAAGGTGGCAATGTAACGGGCCACTCTCGGAGGGGTTGGGGAACGGTGATAAGGCCAGGGACTTCCGGGTGCGAAGAAGGGTTCAGCAAGGATGTTGCGGAAGCGAATTATCCATACGATCGACCTGTGGCCCCGGGGGATGGAGGGGGAGGGGGAGGAGGCAAGAAACAGAATAGGGGAGTGATGAAGCAGCTAGCGAGAGATCTGAGAGAGACCTGAGAGTTGACAACTGGCGGCGAACGACAAGATCTTGATGCGGTTGATCGCAGACGCAAGGACTCGGAAGGTGATTGAAGCGGGAGGAGAGGTTATTGTTGGCGGCGAGGCATGCCCCTGGTGTGAATGGTGGAGTCGGTGCTAAGTAAAGTTAAGTAAAGCAGGGCTCGTTGGTGGGCTCCAGGCGGGTGGCAGATGACGAGCCTCAAGGACACTATGGGGTGGGTCTTTAGCGGGCGTCAAAAAGGCCACCCAGTTGAAAAGAAGTATCTACCTGGGCCTGCTAGGCAAACGAGGGGAGAGGACTCGGTGAGGATGGCACCTAGGTGGATGGGATGTGTGCTAGCATTTAGTCAGCCACGTTTGCCACGACGCAGGTGCGGATAGGGTGGCTAGGTTGATACGAGAAAGATGATGTTGGATATTGGATGAATGTTCGATGGGGGTCGATGGGACGAGCGGCGCGAAGGCCATGGGCTGTTGGCTCGTGGGTGCTGGGCGATGGAATGGGTGATGGTGGTCACTGGTCATGGTTGATGAATCACTAAGAAAGGGAATGAGTTGCATGTGCAGGGCCGTGCAGCGCAGTGCAGAATGCAGCGCAGCCGCAGGGGGCGTCGCATTGACCCAAGGTTTTTCTCAATCTCATAGAGCGGGATGGAAAGTTGTGCAGGTCCGTCAAGCCGACAAGTGCCGTCATCATCAACCACACATTGTGCCACATATCCGGAGTGCTTGAATGGTTCCTGTCCACGGTGCCTGTCTAGGCATTGGGCTAGCCTCAGAAGGCTTGGGAAAAGCCCCCCTCGAGAAACTGCTTGATGCGCCTGTCTCGAGTACCAATAGGCTGTGGAAGTGAGTGGGAGGGGCAAAAAGTGATTGGCGGGGCGAGGCTGATGCGGTTAGTTATTCCAAGCAGGTACTCGTACTTGGGGGGCACTGGGGGGGAACACACAGCCCACTACTGTACAGTAGGTTTCCCTCAGGCGCTCGTGGCCCTAACAAGTACTCGTGCGCTGGGCCTAGTAGGCTTCGCACGCTTCGTTACCGCAGTTTCTACCCGCACAGACTTGCCTCGTATGCCCGTTGATGCGCATGATTAGCCCCGGCGTCAACCAACGTGATTGCCCCTCGTGCAACTCTCTGCATCCCTGCAAGATCAGCATCGTAGCCACTGAGCTTCGAGTAGGAAATCTTAAAAGGCCTCTTCCCTCTACAGTTTTGTGATTAACTCTGTCGCTATCTCGCAACTCTGACCAGACCAAGCCATGACTTATGCACACCCAACATACTTTACGAGGTACTTTGTCTGTGAAATGTCCCACTGCCCCTCTCGCCTGGCCTAAATCTGCGTCTTTTTCTTTTGTTCTCGAATCTCAATGGGCTTGTAGGACATTTGTGAATATATCTGAGTTATGGCCTTCTTCCCACCTTCTCTGTCAGCCCTTTCGAGGGTCGAATCATTCTCCCGCCTCGCAGCCGAAGAGCGAGGCCGAGCAAGTCATCCCCCGTCTTACGCTTCGTGTATCGGTTGGACCTGACTCACCCTTCTGGTTGCGCCCACAGGACCCTTTCTTGTGTACGGCATGCCCCGCATATCCGTGTCCGCCCCTCTCTTAGAACACCCGAGATTAAACTCGCAGCGCAGGTTTTCTGACACCTTTTCCTCCTTCGCTGACCGCATACCTGCCGCAGGATGCCACGGGTCTCTCGGATTCCGTGATCCAATAGACATGTTGTCCTCAGCCTTAGGCCCTCCTCAGCGATTACATTTGATAGGTACAACCATGGTACGTGAAGAGTGGGTAAATAGTTGTAGTCGCCGAGAATAACTGACCCTAGAAGGGCAAACTCGTTCGGTCGGTCCAGGAACAGGCACAGGCGTCAGGTACCCCCCGAATCCAGGATCCAGGCCCCGGTCGTTCGCGCTTTTGATTTCCGATTCCTTGTAACGTACGTATCAGATGGCTCTGTCTCTCTCTCCGGCTCTCCTCATATACAAGTATGAGGGACATGGATTCATAGAGTAGATTAACCAAACCTACCTGAACTTCATTCCCTTCAGCATGCCGGTGAATGGTGCTCAGCTGTCAAGTAACAAGGCATGTGCTAGAAATCATGGTTCGTTCGACCCCACAGTCTTGACCTGAAGGTGGCGGGGGGCGGTCTCCCTCAGAAGAGCCCATTCTCTACACGGATAGGCTTAGGCTTAGACCGGGAAATGGTAGAACTCTTGGCTGATGTCAAAGGTTCATACGAGGTACACCGTACTGGTGACAAGGACTCTGTGTGGTAAGTAGACGGCTCGGCGGCACCAGCGGTAAGGTACTTGGAGGTACTTTGTAGGTCAAAAATGGCGATAACGATAAGAAATAGTGTCTAGCACCGATATGGCTAACCTCAGCCCTGTAGCCAGGCCGTGCCGCCACCCCTTAAGACCTTGAATAGTTATCACATATTGTCGTCTACGAGATTTATTATGTCCAACGTCTCCGGCCCAGATTGGAAATCCTGCAAAGGCCGGCTCGCTGTTCACCCTGCGTGCTGGACTTCGCACGATGATCTAGCATGAGAGTGTATGACAGGCTGAGCATAAAGTCCTCGACCTTGTGGGCGTCTGGCCCTCCCTCCACCCACCTTGACCGCTTCTAGTTAACCAAGTCGTCGATTTTAGTTCTTCGGACTGACGGCACCGACAGCCCCCTTGGCCATGTCTCGAAGCATCCATTTCAAGCTGACACTGGCCGTCTTGAAGTGATGGATCGGCTCGAAAGAAGTATATGAGGGATTGGTGCCAGCAAATACACCTCCACGGACGGCTGCTCTTACATGATTGAATGAGTGAACACAGATACAGTCTCCTGGCCTCACACCGTGAGCCCAGAAGCCAGAAATGAGGCCCCGTATTGTCTTTCGAGCTTGCCTCGAGGAATTGAACCTGGATGGATTAGCTGTATCGATGTATATCTGCCGTCATGTCAGCCTTGCAGTCCAACCCAGACCATGCATACTCCATACCCCAGATATCTGGAGTCGCCTTTTGGTTTTTGGAGGGAGCAAGGGGGGATTCCGGGGTACATTCTCTTCTCCAATGTTGAAATGAGACAGGACATCACAAAACCCTCGGGCTCGAAGCATACAATGAGGAAAATGGAACGGGTGGGAAAGGCCTGTCATCGTTGTCGAACGATGCGGAATCCCCTGTCGAAACTGCATCAGTGACCGGGTTCATTGTTTCATCGAGCAAAGCAAACGAGGAAGGTATGTGCTTGACCGTGATGCGGTCGCCGAAGTTGATACCGATTGATTTTTCCCAATCCCAGAAAGCCTCGCTGACCTCTTCCAAACAGTCTCTCCGTCGTCAAGCGAGACTTTGATGCCTCGGGAATAAAGACGACTCCGATGACAAGCGAACCCAGGCCAGAAAGTCGCCTTATCGATCGCGTGTATCGCAGTCATACCGCCCGATGGTTGCTGGAAATGAGTCCAGAAGACCTTATATCCTCGCCCCCAGGTAGAGGTGAAATAGACCCTCAAGTCCATCTTCAGAGACATGGGGACTGGGTACCTACGAGGATGCTCAGAGTCGCCTGGTTTCGTCTGCCTCCAGAATATGCGACAGAGGCTATAACTTTGGTAGTTTAACGGATGACTTGTCTTGTATCCCTAACTCTGGGAGAGCTGCCCGAAGGAAGAGGATAGCCATTCAGATGCATATGCACATGGTGAGATGTACGATGGATGGAACTCCTGTTCAGAACCTTCCAAAACACCCCGCAACTCAACCCCGTGGGTGTCTCGGAGTGAAGAACCAACAGATTTAAAGATATAGATCCCGCACTCCGAGGCTCGGCTGGAGGGGGAAGGCTATCAGCGAGGTCTTTCCGGACAGGGGGACGAGAATGCCCGCCTGAAGAATGACGAGTCTCCGGCCATTCAAGAGCATCGAGCAACTGCGGAACGGTTCTCGCCGCAGGAACAGAAGAGCATCATCTGGAGGATCGACTGGCGGGTCATGCCTGTCATGGGCGCCATATTCTGCATTTGTCTCCTTGACCGGGCAAGCGAAAGATGCTACTGCTGTAGAGATCAGCTCCCTCTCCTCGAACCGAATGCTGACTGGTTGCGTGTGTTTGGAAATTCGGGGCCGCAAACATCGCCGGCATGCGCTATTCCATCATCACACTGGTCTTCTTCCCGACCTACATCGTCTTCGAGATCCCAGCGACGCTGCTCACCCGCTGGATCAGCCCGCGCCTTTTCCTCTCCAGCGTGGTCATGACCTGGGCTGTGATCCTCATCGGCACTGGGTTTGCTCGCGAATGGCAAGTCATTGCGGCTTGAGAGCCTTCTTGGGATTCTCGAGGCCGGCTTCTTTCCTGGGTGCTTGTACTTTCTGAGGTGAGCCTTCCAGACATCTCATCGCTCGTCGGAACTGATTGAATGGCAGTACTTGGTACACTCGCTACGAGATGCACAAGAGGTACGTGATGCATGGCTCCACACAGGTGCTCATCAAGCCAGGGGTTGCGAGTGCGCTTCTTCTTCTTCTCACATGTGTCTTTCCCAGGTGTTCCATGTGGTATTTCATTGCCTCAACATTCACCTCATGTGGAGGCATTTTGACCCATGGCCTGATGCAAATGCACGGGACTGCAGGCCGCGCCGGTTGGCGTTGGGTAAGATTTTCTTTCTCCAACGGATTCCTTCCTAGATGTCGAGCGGGACTGACTTTCTGATGGATAAGATATTTATCATGGAAGGTGTCAACTGCCGCCATCGGCCTTGCTGGATCTGTGCTCCTGTTCGGGTTTCCCGAATCCAAGAAGAGATACCGCCATTTCCTCTCTGATGCTAAAATGTCCTTCGTGCTCGCACGCAATAACCTGGACCGGAACGATGCCGACATCACGCCATTCGACCTCTGGGAGTTTCTGTCGCACACGTTTGACCTCAAGCTCTGGTTGTTTGGCTTGATTTACTGCTTTACCTTGATTGTCGGGTATAGCTTTGCGCATTTCCTGCTCATCATTCTGCTCCACAAGCTGGAATTCAGCTTGGCGGCCGCCCAGTGTCTTGTGGCACCGCCCTATTTCCTAGGCGGCTGATGTCGGTGTGAAAGTCATCGAAGGTGACACTGCCTTTAGATATACGATACGACAGACCGGACACGGTCTCTTTGAAAAGAGCAATTTCGAAGCAGCCGTGGACGACCCTCGGCTGGGATTGAAATAGCCGGGCTGAGCAAACCAGTTTAATGTACTTGATATCGTTGATAAAAAAAAATGGATAGGTCCACAAGAGTTAGCCGTTAAAGAAACGTGGTCAAAGACCCGAGTATCGTTTGAAGAGTGAAGAGTTATAGCTAAACTAGCTCGTTGTTGAATGAATCTCTAATAAACACCCTACATATTGTCAATATAGGGGCCGCCTTCCCCGCCCTTGGCCAACGTCATGCACGCTAAGATCACATGTGTCTTTTGCACGATCCACAAAACGCCGACCGCCTTGGGGGATTCCATGTAGGCACCAAATCTGTTAGGGATCACTCAACTTTGGCACCAATCCAGCTGCACAGGCAGCTGCTTCCATCTCTCGGTCGTGAGCAACTGGATTGAGACTGCCGCCAGGATCCAATACCACCGATCTCAGCAACCATGTCGTAAGGAGATTGTGCTTGAGACCAGGACGGCCTCGCATTCATTTGTGAACCTTTGTGCACAAAGTCATGCGGCTCTCGATGGTCTTGGCACATTAGGAGGACAAGAAGACCTCGATTGTTGTCCAATATCTATTTCGCGCGTTCGACGGTGTGGTGATTAAAGGTCAACATGGATATGGCCGCAACGACGACCAGAGCGGACACGGGCAACGCCACGTCGACCTACATCGACATTGACTCTCTCACTTCGGATGAGTTCTCGCCTTATAAACACGCAAACTCCCTTATTCTCGCAACCAACAACCCCTCCGATCCGACCATCGACCTCACTACACCCCTCTCCCGCGTCCTGTTCGACCTCCAAGAAATTGATTCGCATATCCATACCCTCACCTCCCGCTCGGCACTCGACATTCTCACATATACCGCCACTCAGAATGCCGCCGCCCAACGAATACTCACCAGGATGGAAGAGGAACGAGCACGTCTAAACGCCAGCTACGAACGCCTGGAGAAGGAAGTCCTGGTCCGGCATCAGAAAGCAGTGGATGCGAAACTCGTTGCCCAACGAAGCTGGGAGGTTCTCCGCTTGGGCAGGGGTGTACAGCGCATTCTCAACCTGGCGCGACAATTTGAGGTGATCCTCGCAGAGTCCGGCCTTGGAGGAGGTGCCCGTGCCGGTAAAGAGGATCACGGTGCGCTTATGCGCGCAACACTTGCAATTCTTGGGTTTCGCGATGCCATCCTTGGAAGGGACGGCGACGAGTTAGCACGCATCAACCTTGTGAAAACTGTGCGGGGAAGGGTCTTCGAAGATGGTGAGGCTCGGATCCTAGACTTTGCAAGACGCATTGTCAGAGAGTTCTCAATGACTACCCTCTCCTCGGGTTCTGGCAGTGGAGTCTCGACATCTTCTGGCCCTTCGTATCGTGAAGTCGAGGACAGCCGTGCCCGGTTCATGAGTGCAGTGCACATTCTCTATCTCCTCTCTCCGGCACCAAGAATCGATGGGGAGAAGATGAAAAAGAAGGACTTTGAGCCTGAATATCTGCTCCGCGCGTTACAGAGTTACTTACAGACAGCCATCACGTCCAGTTCGGCATCAATTGGGAGAGCTCTGGGCCAGTTACCCATGTTAGACCGGGCCTTGTTGGAGACAAGTGCACGATGTCAAAATATTGTGGCCCTGGAAGCCATGCTGCGCGGCATTTCTGCCCCTGACCATCCATTACTGCAGGCTGAAGCTACCGAAGACCAAAATATCACCCACGATGTTGACGAGGAGGACTCTGAAGATGAGGCAACCTTAGAGCCCTCTAAAACAAACAACCCCGATAACTTTCTCTCCTTACTCCTCAATGCACTCGACACCGCGTCTCTCCCATCGTATTTCTGGCGCTCACTGGCTTCCTCACTATCCACCCGTGTCCAAGAGATTCTGACAAGAGGAGGCGTATCCGCACGTACACTGCGAAGTCAACGCGATGCCGTGCGACAGGAAATCCGTGACTGTGTCCTTCGAGGCTCAAAGCTGCCGAGGACTGTGCTTGCAGGTGACTCAAAAACAATGTCGACTGCAAAGGGCGAGCAAGAAGCAGACAATTGGGAACGAGAGGCGGCGGTGATGGTTGGGAGTGTGGTTGGTTTGTTGGGGCGGTAGAAGAACGGGATAGTTATACAATAAGTCCCTTTCCTGATCCCGAACGTGAGTGAAGATATTTTACTCGGAAAACCCTTCGCACCGTCAAACCGAAAAGCAGGTGATTTCCCGAGTCCGCGCTATGCAATTCTTTTCTTTTTAGTGTACATTTGTAACCCTTTCTGTACATTTCCCTTCATCGTCACAAGTTGAAAGGGTGGTGCCTTCTTCTCCCCTAAGCCGACATGATCGACTCTCTGGTGCTATCACGGGCAGGTCTTTGCCATCAATGTCGCCAACACGTCTGTCCCCTCATCCGAACCATGACTTGCCTTTTCTGTCGGATTTTGCCTTTGCGGCCGACTCGGCGTCTTCTTTGGCAATCTGCTCTAACGTGCGGTCTCGTTTATAATCCACGACTCTCTTTTCCTTGAAGTATTTGATCTGTGGGAGGCACACAAAAAGCATGAGCAACCGTTGGTCGATCGCCAGGTAGGATATAGAAATGCACAGCGAGAGGAGAGGGGCATCTCAAATCGGGTATTGAAAACTCACCCAACTTCTTGCGCAGTCCCTCTCGTACGCAGCCACCTCTGTCGGACAGACCTTGCGGGCCTTCTCGTCCTCCTTGACCGCATCCAATATGTCGTGCCGGTCCAGGCACTGGAAGAATATGTCGCGCGACTCGTAGCAGTGTTCGCGAGACGTGCGGTCCGGAGCCACGTAGCCGCCGTCTTTGGACCGTGGAGGCAGGTTCGACGATTGCGGTAAAGAGGGATTAGGCGAGGCAGAGCCCCCCAGCCAGGTCGGAAGACCCCAGGCCATGGTTTGCGGAGGATATGAAGATGGAGATGGAGATGTGCAGGTGGAAGCGACGGAGCTGGGGAAAGCGGTAGAAAGTATTCCTGAAGGCCTGGATGAAGGGTGAGTGGAATGAATGTCTTCTAATTGCGTGTCGAATACTGTCTTCTTGCTGATCTCATGGAAGGTTCTCTTTTATGAAATTTCATCGACGTCGTCAAACAAACTATACTCTCCAATCAACTTATTTGGAGATGCGCTGCCACCAGCTGCTGCTGCTGCTGCTGTTAGGCTCAGCCCTACACGTGACAAGGCTCGGAGTTTATTTATGCATCGTCATCTTTTGGGCTTGTAAACTCCACGTATGTATCAATCACAGACAACCCTTTCAAACATTATCCGCAATCCACCATGCCTATAGATCGAGGGCAGCTCCCAGCTTCATGGCGACGCTAGCACCGGCTCTCCCGACTCACAGTTGACGACCTCCTCTTCTTCTTGCAAACAAGACCGAGGAGTTGGGCCGCGCCCCATGCCGCCTCGACGGCGCAAACCTCCCCGCGCAGGCGCCCTCACGGAACTGCCGCCTCTGAAGATCGTCCGCTCCATCCTCCTCCTGCAACTCTCATACTACACGACGGCGTTTGTATTGATATTGTTCACGACCTTGGTTCTGGGCCAGAGATTCTCTCTGAACTTGATATTCGATTGGAATAGCGTGCGTGGAGACACCACCGTCGGCTGGACCGTCGGTTTCTTGTGGGTTGTCGATGGGTTTATAACGTATGGTGCTCCGTCCCGTTCTGATAATGTCGAATTGGGGTTTTTAGGAGAGAGACTAACACCTTTTCTCAAAGAGTAATACCGATCCTCCTGCTGATCTCCCGCTCGAAACTTGTCCCCGATTTCGCCCTCACGATTCACTTCATCCACCTCCTCATCACCTCCTTCTACACGGGTGCCATTCCGACGAATTTGCTATGGTGGGGTCTCGAGGCTTCCAGCGCGTTGTTGATGATTGTTTTGGGCGTTTGGGCTTGTCGGTATCGTGAAATGCAACCCATTTCTTTCGGAGCACCGGCGCACAAGAAGGCGACTGGTCAAAATGCAGCCAATGGATCGGCAGAGGGTGCCGTTGTTGATGAGCATATACGGGGCAGTCCGGGAAGGGGCCTGAGGACTGACGCCGGTCCAAGCTATGAGATGGTAACTGTCAGAGGGGACCAAAATGTATAATTTGGACAGAGACATGAAATAAATTCTTTCGGGTTTGACCGGTGACGCGTGGAATCTTGCCTTCACAAGCCAGCAGTATGTTGTGGTCAGGACTATCGACGAGGGCGCGCTAGGTAAAGTTGGACAATAGAGTCTCTTGTCTTTCCCAGCCGCATGTGGCCTGGATATGAGGTGAATCAAAATCATGGACTGGCAATGTCGCGCCCAAGGTCAAGTCTGGTGCTTGGAAACTGTGGTTGGAATACTGAAGGATGGAGACAGAACGTCCTGGCCTCTCCAGAAGGATCCTAGGAGACCATGGCAACGAGTTCCATGGGGGAAATGTGGCAAACACTTCCGAAGGTCGGGACAGTCTTGTCTAAACTATGGGCAGCACACGGAAAACAGCTGTTGTGGAAGGACTACGAGAAGGACTGGAAGCACTGGGCGGCCCAGGAACATATTTCTCCCACTGTCAACGCCGCTGAATACGACGAGTCAAGTGGATATCCTTGTATCTGCAGCCTACAGGCCCCAGCACGCGTTCGGGTTTTCACATCCATCACGACGCCGCCGTGCCAGCATATCCGTGGAACTCGACCACGTCCTCCTTCAATATCTCGGCCAGCTCGAACATCTGGAAACTCTCCTCCATGCTCCTCTGGGTCGGCTCCCATCCGAGCTCTCTCAGCCGTACCGCCCTGCTCCGACTGTTCAAGCCTATAACCGCGCCGGAGAACTCGCCAAAGAGATCACCCCACAGATCCTTTGGGATAGTCTTTGGCGTTGGATCCTGGATTTTGCCAACCTTGTGCAGGCCCTCGCCGATCATCTCTGCGACTTCGCGCCACGAAGCCTCACGGCCATTTTCGCAGAAAAAGTAGGGGTTGTCAAGGAAGTCCTGTGCCGGTTTGTTTTCCATGTGATGCAGCAAGGTCACGTACGCCTGGGCAAGGTCCAGCACATGGATTTGTGATTCGACCGGGAGACCCTTGCCCAGATACCCCGCGAAACCGTGCTTGATCGCGAACCGGGTCAGGGTCGGTATCTGGATGGTCAGTCGTCGGTGCTGAGGGTTGTACCCATAGATCAAGGGCGGGATCATGATGGCGATCTTGGCCTTGTCGCCAATCTCCTTCTGGTACTTTAGGATGGTCAGGTCAATCTGTCGGTGCGGCGCGTCGTCCGGCACCGAATCGATCTCGGCGCGGTTGTTGTCGTGATAGACCTTGTCGCCCTTGAACTCTCCGCAGGCCCCGTCGTCCAAGACGCTGGTGCCGGACGTGTGGATGTATATGGTCGACTTGCCCTGCGCGGCTCGCTCCGCCACGCCCTTGCAGACGGCCTCGGCGCTGGGCTTGTGGTCGGCGGTCGCGGTGTGGAAGATGATATCGCTCTCGGCCGCGTGCGTCTTTATCAAGGTTGTGTCATTCAGATCGCCGACGACGGCTTTCGCCCCGGAGAACTCGATCTGTTGTCCGTGCGACGCACGCCTCACCAGGCCCGTCACATTGTAGCCCTCGCGGACCAGATGGTCGAGGACGTTCCAGCCGATGAAGCCGGGGCCGACGATGAGGACATTTTTGGCGCCTGCCGACAGAGACATACTTGTAGATAGATACCTCACTGGGTTGGTGGATAGGTGCGTAGGTCGTCGAAGTCAGGTTGCAGTTCAGTCCACTTGGGAGAAAAAGAAAAGAGCTCGATATAGCGATATAGGAGATCAAAACTTGTCATGGACTTGTTTGTTTCTGTTGCATTGATTGGTATGTTTTTTTTTCTCTCCCTCTTCTTCCTTCTCCCTCCTTCACCCGAATAGATTTCCTTTCTCCGAATAGTAAGAGTGACGTCAATCTTCCCCGATCGTCGCCCGGGCTGGTCACGCTGATTTCATTCAGTGCTGATTCTGCAGCCAACTTGCATGGAGAAATGGAACACGGGCAAGTCGATAATCAATCAGCTCGAACACGAGCATGTGCATCACATCATTTGCGTGGTGTAATGGTGGAGAGAATGATGGGGGAATTAATAATGTATATACTTGGTGCGGGGAGAAAGTTGCCGCTGCGTCTGGCAATGTAATTAATATGTAGCATATAGCCAGCCGAAGTCTTGCGGTTTTCTCCAGGCTCTTTTGCTAGGTATATAGCCATGTATTCATGCCTGCTATTCATGCATGCAGGCATGCAGGCATGCAGGCATGAATGTGTGTATGTGTATATGTATTCGACGTATGGGCGTATAGACATATTTGCGCATGCGCGTAGAGATTCCCGGTCCTCAGCAAGGACATGATGCCGCCTTCTCAGACCTGGTGCTCCCTCTCTCGTGTTCCTGTCGTCCATCCCTGGCTGCATCTCGCCTCAGAGCACGTGTGTGGCAGGCACTCAGCCGGGAACGTGTCGACTCGTTGTTAGATTCACCGTGTCTCATATGTCTCTTGAGCTGCTTACGCCACTCCCTCCCTGCTCCTCCACCAAGGGATACTTCCTGGCTTGCTTGAAGGCTTCTGTTGGGGGGATCTGTTGCGTGCGCATGAGTGAGCGAGTGAGCGAGATTGTGTGTACATATGTGTGTGTGCATGTGTCTGACTTGCCCGTAACTCTCTCACGGCCGTGCTTCCTCTCGCATTTAGAGGTATGAATAGGAAGAAGGTATCCGACGGCACAATTCGTTTGGGTGGGAGTGCTTATGAGTGGTGTAGTCGCCTCGGAGAGAGAGCTGGTACCGGACTGGGAACGAGGAGGCAGCAGAGGAAAGGCGGAAGACGGCAAAGAGAGAGGGGGAGAGTGCGTGAGTGGGTGAAAGAGAAACAGGAAGGCGAATAGAACTAGGGAGAGGTGTCGAGCGACGATTTCTGGACTTGTCTGTGTGATAGAAATCCAAGCGTGTCTCTTTCTTTGCGCAAAGACGACACGACGCAGTTTGTCATTTCGATGCAATCCCATCTGGTGAATATCAAGTATGTCTTTTCTACAAGTAAAGTACACCAGAAGAGAGTGCCTCATTGGAATCGAGGTAGTCGCAATCACATGATGGTCTTCATACCTTGCAAAGGATGTACAAGAAACCTACAGATGAACACAGATCAAGGCTGGAACGCTTCTTCTCGCTCATCGACATACTGTTTGGAATCGAAACTGCGGTCGGCCACCGTTCTCTACTCCTCGAGAAGAGCACACCAGGTAACTGATTCACTTCAAGCCACCAAAGACGTCTCAAGGAACTCTGCTGCTCGCGGTTCACCTAGACCCATCTGGAACCCCTCCTGAGTATCAACAAGGGGAGATACGTAAGACATCGCTATGCCAGGCCCCTGGGCAGAGGTCACCATGGTGCGAGGACTGACACTTTGCAGCTGGAAAAGGGGGATGTGAGACCCTGCCTAGAGGCGCCATGGAGTAGCAGGAGCAACAGCAGAAACTAGCTCCGGTGTGATCAAGCAAGGACTTGTCGCTCCCTCTTTGCGTATGTCTTGGTGTTGAGGGAACCCGCTGTGTTTCTCGTTCGGCCGACCCGTAAGGCGAAAGACATGGTGGGGTTTGGTGACCAGCTGCTAGGTCTCTCGACATCCGCTGTCGGAGCAGAATAGAATGCCTTTCCGGTGGAAACGCAAAAAAAGGCAACCTTCCGTCAATCTGGTGATTGTAGCTGTAAACGCTCGAGAGTCCATTTTGGGAATCAAAGTCCCATGACCGGGTTACGCTGCGGTATAGACTTGGTGTTGTTGTTGGACTGGCCAGTGAACTCACAGGGATCTTTTGTCTTCTAGACCGGGCTGGACCATCACGGAGCATTACCAGAGATAGTCTTAGTTTGCCTGTCGAGTAGCCGTCCAATCCCCTGATACCCAGCGCAGGCCGCTTCCCGAACCGCACTCATCGTCAAGTGCGGATGCGCAGAGGATTGTCTTGAAAGATACTCAATAGTCCAAAGAGACTCGAAGTGGTGATGATTTCACAGTTCTTTTTCCTTCCAAGGGTATGTGAAACCAGGTGTTTGGCAGTGTGATGAGTGGTGAGGGGCCCCCTGCCCTTGCAAACATCCCGGTCGGATTGAACTGGATTGTGTTTTGGGCCTGTGAAAGTTGTCTGTCTTGTCTTCGTCTAGCAGGGGTACTCAGCTATATCCTGGGCGCTGCCTTCGAATGTACGTTTGTCGGATGCGGAGGTTGCTCGTACACACTGCCTTGACTGTTTCACCACCCTTCCTGGTCTCGGTCCATATGTACCGCCGAGTCAGTGGCGGGGCGAGACGAGATGAGGCGGGATGAAAGGCCAAAGTGTTTGGGGAAATGCGACAAGGGTATACAAACCACTAGTCGGCTGTCGTCAGTGCGGAGTACGACCGGACTGGAATCGAGCAGCAGCGCTAAGTGTAAATCCTGCCCCGGCTGATCGACCGCGCATGTGAAAAGGCCAGGGTTGGGCCTTGTCCACCGCTAGGGCTGTAGTCCGTGCATAGGACGAAACCATGGAGGAAATCCCTAGCAAAGGTGCAGCCCTTGGTTCGTCAAGGATAGCACGAGCCATTGTCCGACTTCCCTGTTCGCAGACGGCCAACGTGGGTGGAATTCACAGACTCAATGACATGGGATTGAGGGACCAGGGTGTGTTTCGAAGATCAATGGTCGGATCCCAAAGAGGTTCAAATAATGTGACCAATGACGCCGCTTGTTCGGGAAAGGTTTAGACGAGCCTGTCTTGTTCTGGAAAGGGAAAGGTGGTCTGAGCTGTTGTGTTTTTGCAAATCCTGCCACAGTAATACTAGCGAAGGTGAAAGTCAATGCTAGGAGCGCAGACAGGGTTCTTGTCGACGGAGAAAGAGAACAGGGTATCAATTCGTGAAGCAATGAGAAACATGACACGCACAACCAGGAAGCCGGACAAAACAGCTCCCGTTCTATCCAAAACCCGGAAAGCCTGCAAAGGGATTGCCTCCAGGGAAACCTCCTCCCCCCGTTGAGAACTTGAACTGTCTCTGTCCGCCGCCGCCACCAGGGAATCCTTGTTGGAAGAAAAACTGCTGGCCTCCTGCGCCACCAAAAGGGCTCCCCTGGAAGGGGTGACCACCCTGGTTGGCCATGGGATCATTGGGGTCCTCTCCGTTGTCGAATTTGGCCTTCAATTCGGGGTCGCTGAGGACTTCATAGGCCTCATTGATGGCTGTCATTTTCTTCTCCGCTTCCTCTTTGGTTATGCCTCTTGCGGCGGCCTTGTCTGGGTGGTACATTTTAGTTGCTGTGCGATAAGCCTTCTTGATGGTAGCTTCGTCAGCACCACGAGAGATGCCCAGGACCTTGTAATAGTCCTTGGTTTTGCTGCGCTTCAAGGCGACTTGCGCTTCGTGCAATTTGGAATTGATCGTCCCTTGAGCATCGGGGTGATTATCTCGAGCCGTATTAAGGGTCGAAATGGCGGCATCGAAATTTTCAGCGTCCATGTGTCGCTGTGCCTGGTACAGCAGCCCATGCAGAGAGCTGGGTTTCAAGGCGTGCACTTCGGAACAGAACTTGCCGGCCTTGTTCAGGTTGTTCATCATCATAAACGCTTCACACGTCTTCTCCAACATGTCCACGTAAAGATCCGAGGGCGCTTTGGCATGTATGATGCCTTTTGTACGGTGAGACTCGACATTAGACTGGAGTTGCGAGAGAAGCCCTGGCTCATCCTCGGTGCCCTTGCCGACTAGCACCTTGCTTGCTGAGTTGAATTGCCGTTTGTCGAAAAGAGCCTGAACTTGCTCGATTTGCTTCATGACACTCTTCTCTTCCCTGAGGAGAGACTTGCAGGGCTTCGAGTCTGGATCCGAGTGCAAGCATTTCTTGACTTGGTCAATGCCCAACTTTGTATCCCCTAGGCTGTAGAACAACATGGCCGAAATTTGTAGGTGTGGCTCCACTAGACTCGGATGGATTTGGAGGGCGTGCTGGAGGTCGCTAATACCCTCTTGAACCTCACCACGCTCGAATCGACAGCGAGCGCGAAGTTGTCGCAATGACAATGCTGTACCTGCTGTCATGATAGCAATGCCTGCTTGGTTGATACATGCTTCCCAGTCTTGCTTCTTCTCCGCCTCAACTGCGAGATAGTATGCGCCCTCAGCCTCTTCAAGTTGAGCCAGATCTGCCGCCGCTCGAGTCCCTAGCGCAGCATAGTCTTCCCTCGCTGCAGCCCAGTCTGCGTTCTTCGCCCTGATCTTCGCCCTCTGCAACAGCGCTCCCTCGAACCCGGGTTTCAATTTTAACACATTATCGAAGTCTGCACCGGCCTGTGCATTCCTTCCGAGAGACAAATAGGTGATTCCTCGTTGGAAGAGCGTGAGGTAGTCGGACGAGTCCTTGGAGACGGCGGCATCAAAGTATGCCAGAGCCTCACTGTTGGCTCCTCGAGCACGTGCTGCTTTGCCCGATGCGATCAAAGAAGAAAGAGAGGCGTCAGAGGGTATATCGACGGCATCGACGGCATAGAAGGAAGTGAGATAGAAACCGAGTAGGGCAGCGAGCAGGCCGAGACGCTGTAACGGGAGAATCATTGTGGCATAATGAGAGTGGCCAGTTGATGTACAGAGGGAAGAAAAAAGAGATCAACTTTAAAGTCAAAGCAAGTGAAACAGAGCAGTTAGACAATGAGAGGTGAAATGAGCGAATGTGTCGCCGTCAATGTCGTTGCCAGATTCCAACCAATCTGTCCTCAACGTCTGGTAGATTCTCAAAGAATCCGCAGCCACATTCTTCCCCCAGCCTTATTTAGCCACATTCTTCCATTATTGGCTAGCTCAGTATCCGCCGCTTTTAGTCACCCACGCGTGCCACGCCTGGTGACGCCACTCTTTTGCGGTGGCTGCTCACGCTGCTTGGCTGCCATATGATCTCAGCCTTGGGACATGGATTTGTGCCTCGTACTCATCCCATTGAAAGACAACCAACGGTGTGGTTCATCGTCTCGTTCAAGTATAGTATTCTCAATGGCTTCACCAGAGACATGACCGTTGCACACGCACAGATGATGCAGTCATTATGCCCTCGGCGGTAGTAAAAACAAACAACACCTCAACCTCAGTCCTCCAAGATGGCTCCCCTCACCGCTCTCGTCGCGCCTCCTTCCAGGTGCTGAACCGAAATATCCATCAGGTCGTTCTGGGAAACCTGCTATTCGACGCGTGGTATTATTCTCCCTACCCTGACAGTATCATTCTTCCGCATCGAGGAGACGGCTCAACAACAGCAGATGTGAGAAATGGGCACTCTCACAGCCACCTTAGCGGATATCACAGTTCGATAAGGGGAGAGGAGCCAATTTGCCGCCTCCTCCATGTTTGCCCGTGCTGTTTTCGTTATACACCACTCGAAGAACAATTCACCCGACACCTTGCTTACCACCGCCACCTCCGCTCTGAAAATCTTGAACCCAATCAACCCGTCCCAGCATCCGCGTACAAAGTATACGAATGGGAAGGGTATGCGGTTTGGGAAATAGATGGCGAGAAGGAGAAACTATATTGTCAGAATCTGAGTCTCTTCGGAAAGTTGTTCCTTGAACAGAAAAGTGTCTTTTTCGATACGGCAGGGTTCAAGTACTATGCTCTGACGTATACGAAGCCTGAAAGTCCCTCATCACCAGCTTCTACGACAACCAAGACCCGAGGACAGAAACAACGAAGCTCGTCTGCAAATGTGCAACAAGAAGACGACGCGCTCTACCAGACGCGTGTTCTAGGGTTCTTCTCCAAGGAGAATCTTTCGTGGGACTCCAACAATCTTGCGTGCATCTTGATTTTCCCTCCCTTTCAGCATCGGCAGCTTGGTCAATTATTGATGGCAGTCTCGTACAAGCTGAGCGGATGGGAATGGGAAGGCGGGGTGATTGGCGGGCCCGAAAAGCCCTTGAGTGCAATGGGCCGGAAGTCATACCTAAGGTTTTGGTCCGAACGCATTGCTCGGTTTCTGATGGGTCAGACGGCGGATGCGGATGCAACAAGGGTCTTCGACACAGCCAAGGCGAATGGCAGGAACAGAAAAACAGTTCAGCCGAGAAAAGAAGAGATGACGGTCAAGGAAATTGGGGACAGGACCGGAATGCTGGGAGAGGATGTAGTCGCTGCGCTAACCGAGATGGGTCTGTGTAAGGTGGTAGGGCCCAAAAGGAAGAAGGCAAAATCTTCCACGCCTGAGGCGAACGGAACAGCATCCGCGAGTCTCGCTCATGCTACGGAAATTGAGCCAGAGGAATTGGCAACAATGGTCATCCATCGCTCAAAAATTGTGGAGTGGGCGGAGAAGAACGGCGTTGAGCTGAGCAGTCCCGTCAAAGAAGAAGGATTTTTGGGCGAGTGGGCATTGAGCGATCTTGCTGAATCCGACAACAATAGTCAAAATTTGTCGGGCGACGATGATAGCAATGCTTAGTGGATGTGCTTGCTTGCGAACAGGAGTGTCCTCGGAGAACGGAGAAGGAGTTCCCCATGTTACAGAAACTCCAACCTCTTCAATTGTCGGTGGCCAGGACCACAAGGATATAGCAGGATCAAGAGTCCCAGGAGTGCGGGAGGGGGAGAACTGCGTGCCGGGTGCGTGCATACCGAACATTCTCGTACCCTGTCAAGCTGTTCAGCACGAGCTCGATATAGTGGACTCGTAGCTGCTCCCCAAATGCATTGTCGATCCAAAAAAAGAGTATCAAGTAGCCCGCGCACTGCCTCTCGAGACCAGCTCGTGAGCTGGGAACGGGACCACCAAGGGGGTTTTGAGTGAGGGGGATTCATGGCGTAGGTGTGTTCCATTCCAAAAGTGTGCTGTGATCTGCGATTGTTGTTTTCCTTCCAGGAAGCGATCAACACTTCCTACCCGCTCATGGACTAGTGCGACGAATGTGGCACGGATCCGGGCCGGTTCCATGCGTCCTGTCAACCCTGCTAGGGTTTGGGGAAAGGTAGTTGGGTAGGTAGACAGTTAAGGCTTTGGTATAGGGATCCCTAGGCAGCGCCCTTATGGTGATCACCCGCGAGGGTCCAGTAGGTTCGTGGAGGGGCTTCTTCCAACGTCGGACGACCCAAAAGAGGTAGACTTCCCTTCTCAATCATTGTCACGAGATGGTGGTGATCCTCGAGGATGGGAGGAGATAGAAGCTCGGAAGCAAACCGAGCGGCCTGTGAATTGCAAACTTCGACCTCGTGCCCGCCCGTAAATGGATGGTTACACGGAGTGTATATCACCATGGCCTAGTTTCAAGGCAAACGGTTCAGCATCTTACCTTTCCTTCACGTTTTGGACCCTTCATCTCTGCTATGCTTTTGGAGTTGGACCCTTGCTCGCATCACCTGAGCAATCAACGCTCTTCCAAGGGTGGCACAGAAGGCACTTTTTCCCTTTCATTACCACGGCTTCGCTGCCTCAAATGTGAGGATGCCATCTGAAAATTTTGATAAAACCATTCTCCGCATGAGTCTGAAGAAGACGTCATGAAGTCTGACACACATTCGAGACACAAGAACCTCCCGCCCATAAGATTTTCTGTTCGGATAGTAGCTTTCCGGCGGTGCCCTTTGGGTAAGGGGACTGTAATGGGTGCGTGATGCGATTACTGGTCTGTGATTAGCTTAGGCCTGGGGTTTTTGGGGGGGCACGACTCGATAAGTGGTTAGCAGCAAACTGTCAGGTTTTGAGGAGCGTCGACAGCCGAGCTTGCAGATTTGCAACAGGCGAATGATGCCGGGTTCAAAGTCTGCATCCGCGGTAGTCGGTCGAGCGACCAAGCTGTTACGCGCAAAGTCGCGATTTGTCGGCTCCCCTGCATAATCCGCATGCTCAACCGAATGCAGCTTTCAGGCACCCTGGGCCAGGGACGTGCCAGGGTGATAGCGGAGGCCCGAAACCCTGTTGGGTATCGCGTCCCCAAGTTTGGCGCACCAATGTCTACCTATACTCTGCACGGTATCCCTGAAAGCTTGCACAGAATTTTTCTCCGGCGGTATCCCAGCCCGAGCAACTTGGCGTGACGACCGCTGCATTGAACTGTCCAGGGCACTGCCAGGGGTGGGAAATGGCCGCTGAACCACTCTCAGTTGGGAGAACAGAGCAGCAGAGGTAGAATATCAAGCCTGATGCTTTTCCAACAAGTCACTCGGTATGTATTCGGCAGTCCAAAGACTTCGACAAAGACAGATGTGACTTGGCGAGATTGACATATGTTTGGGTGCAAGGCCCAACTCTGTTCGACGCGTCTGCGAGAGTTTACCATCTCGGCAGTGGTTGGCTACTTGTTGACTAATACCCCGTGTTTATGTGTTTATCAGGGGACACGACCTCACAGCCACGAGGGGCGAAGACATGTCTGAGTTTCCTGTTCAGCTGAAGGGACGCGGCACAAGCCTCCATAAAGTGCATTGTGATGAACATCATCATTAGACGTACAACCACGCACGAAAGGATGTGCTCCGCAAGCTGATAGGGACTCTTTCTAGTATGGCTAGGTAGCATTGGGTAGGCAGTGGATGAACGAGGATGGTGATTGGGGAGTTGTTTTTCGACAGCTTTCACATGCGGTTCGACCGCAATGAGCCTTCGCCAATTCGCCTGTTCTCAGCCTGCCTTCTGTTTATTAGCACAGACTGGACTGACACAGAAGGAAAGGGCTCTTAGGGCTTGGGGCCGCATATTAGCGAACCAATACTGCGTGCTCCATGGTGGGCCGCCGGCATGCCCTGGTCAAAGTCGGGTGATTCCAAAGCTGGGCTGCTGGGGTCGAGAACCCACCAGGACTGAGGATGAACCAAAATCCCTAGAACGTGAGCTAGTTGTACGCTGCAGGTACAAAGTAAGACTCGAAGATAACTCGTAGAGAAGAAGCAGGGTATAGACCAAAGCGAAGTGTATCAGAGTAGAACTTAAATGATACTTTGACTGGGGCAACAAACAGATCGCAGGACAAACAAGGTCAGACAGAAATATGCAGGCCTTCAAAGTTTGACAGTGACCAGTGACTGAACCCCCTCCAAAGCCGGCATCCACCGGGCGGTCACCTGGTAGATATTGTGCGGAACGTAAAAGACGAGGAGGGGAGGATCAGGAGCCAGGACATGGCAATCAGTGCGAAACACGGATGTGAAGAAAGTCAAGAGGTGTACACACATAACAAACATTGAACATTGGGTTGGGCTATCCTTCCTCCTGAAGAGGTGATCTCTGGGTATTCTAGGTACCCAGGGAATTGGTATAGGTGTCAGTAGTGGGGGTCCGTGGGCCGGTAGCCCGTGTTATTCCCTCTACGAGTCAGATGTGCTCAGTACTCGGGGGTACGAGTACGAGTATGAGGACATTACCGTGGCTCAGGTAGGCACGTACTTGTAGGTAACCCCGAAGTGCCCGACCCAAAGTCCCCAGGTACCCAGGCAAGCCAGGGCTGCCACAATGTGCCGTTACGCATTTTGGCATAGTGTGCCCTAGTTCGCCCTTGTTGCCGTCCGCATCCCCTCCTGCCCTCGCTATACCATGCCTAGAAGCCACGCCTAGAAAATATTAGCGCCACACCCAGAAC